CGTTAATTTTGTATCCTGATATATTGCCAAACTTATTTATTAAGTTTAATAATTTTTTGATGGAGTCTTTATGGTTTTCTATGTACAGTATCATGTCATCTGCAAATAAGGACAGTTTTACTTCTTCTTTTCCAATTTGGATGCATTTTATTTCTTCTTCATGTCTGATCACAATGGCTAGTACTTCCAGTACTATGTCGAACAGGAGTGGTGAGAGCAGGCATCCCTGTCTTGTTCCTGTTCTTAGGAAAAATGGTTTTAGTTTTTGCCCATTGAGTATGTTGTTGGCTGTGGGTTTGTCATATATGGCTTTTATTAGTATGTTGAGGTATGACCCTTCTATTCCCACCTTACTGAGAGTTTTTATCAAGAAAGAGTATTGTATTTTGTCAAATGCTTTTCCTGCATCAATTGATATGAGCTTGTTTCTGTACCTGATCGTCTAACTCACAAATTTGATCCTCTGCTTCTTCTAGTCTACTGTTGAAATGTTCCATGGTGTTTTTGATTGTAGCTATATCACTTTTTATTTCTTCCTGATTCTTGTATAAGTTGTTGATTTTCTCATTCATCCGATGTATAAATTCCACGACCATTACTCTGAACTCTTTTTTTGGTCATGTTGCATGCTTCAATTGCACTAATTTTCTTTCTTGGCAACTCCTCATATTCTTTCCTCTGTGGATTGTGCCGTCTCCCCATTCTGCTATCACCATAAGGTTCAAGCTTCAATTTGCATGGACCTGGGCAGTGCACGGTGAAAACTTCACAACACCCAAATTTCACTGAAGTGCTCTGACACTAGGACGTGTGGCTGCCGTGGGTTGGTGGGAACCAGGCTTGTGCAGGGTCAGTGTCCCCAGTGTTCAATGTGGTCTCATGTGTGCACTTAGAATCAGCCGGCACCACACTTGTTATGTGCCAAAAAAGAATCCCTTAGTGCATGCCAGTAGTAAGAGTTCCCTGTGTCTGCACCAACAATTGAGAATCAGAGTCTCTGTTGCTTTGTATGGCCTCACACTGAGAATCAGGGTCCCTGTGTGTTCATGCTCCAAGAATTGGAGTCACTGGCTCTTAGTGTGAATGCGCTGAGAGTCAGGGATCCCAGGCACACACAATAAGAAATGGAGTAAAGTCAGTAGTGCTCAGTGCTACCTCTTGCCTGGAGAATTTGGGACCCTGTTATCATGGGGGACTGGGTTGGACAATAGCACTGTGGGGTGCCTGCACTGTGAAAATCTGACTTCCATGTGCGCTTGTCCAGAATCAAAGTCAGGTGGCACTGGTTTGGTCACCGGATTGCATTGCGGGAAGCAGATTCTAGTCTCTCAAATACAAGTAGCAGCGCTGGGGTCCGCATGTGCTCTCTCTACTGAGCCAAATCAGCTAGGGCTTTGCACACTCTTAAATTTCCCGAAGGAGAGCTGCTTCCCACACATGCTCTCAAATTCCCTGTAGGGGAGCTGCGTCTCTTGCAAGCTCTCAAATTTCCCAAAGGGGCATTGCAGCTTGGGCGAGGGGAGGGTCTATCAGTTACTATGGCGCTATCCGCGAGCCTGCGGGGAGGGAGATAAGTTCTTTGACTCATAGAAATATGCTGCCTGGAAGTCTGGATTCTTGTTGTCTGTTGGTCTGAAGCTGTGGTCGCAGTTCTCTGTCCCCAGTGGCTTCAGGGTCCTGGTTTTTGTCTGAGGCCAGGATCCTAGTCTCAAGCAGCTCTGTTTCTCAAGATGGCATGCTCTCCATGTTTGCAAAGGCAACCCAGAAGTGTCCGCTTTGTGTGCAGGGCTCCACTCTCTAAAACTGTCTGGTTTGGCAGCCTCTTGAGTACCTGCAGAATCTATAATAACTGTCCCTAGCTCATACACACACACACAACACACGTCTAAACTCTCTTTTATGGGTTCCTCGCTCTCTTACACTCTCTCCCTCCCTACCTTCCTGCTGGTCGCCATCTTGATCTCCTAAGAAATAATTTTTAACTTCCAGGATTCTGAAGTTATAAGAATAAGAGACACAACCCTGAATATAAAATAAAAAACGTAATGACTTATTTTTTCTTCCTTGATGCAACTGCATGATGCTTGGGTTTCTAGAGTAGGTAAGCCCAGATACTGAGAAAATTTTGTTTCAAGTTTAGATTTTGGTTTCTTGTAATTCAGACTATCTTTTTATATAGTTAATAGAGGCCTGTGCACGAAATTTATGCACGGAGGGTGTGAGTTACTCAGCCCAGCCTTCACCCTTTCCAATCTGGGACCCCTTAAGACATGTCTGACTGTCCGGTGTGATTGGGCCTAAATGGGTAGTCAGACATCCCTCTCACAATCCAAGAATGCTGGCTCCCAATTGCTCGCCTGCCTGCCTTCCTGATTTCCCCTAACTGCTTTTGCCTGCCAGCCTGATCATCCTCTAACCAGATCCTTGCCAGCCTGATTGATGCCTAACTGCTTCCCTGCCAGCCTGTTTGCCCCTAACTGCCCTCCCCTGCAGGCCGGGGTCCCCCCCCCCAATTGCTTTTCTCTGCAGGACTGGTCGCCCCTAACTTCCTTGTCTGCTGGCCTGGTCACCCCTAACTTCCCTTCCTTGCAGGCTTTATCACCCCCCAACTGCCCTCCCTTGGCATACCTGGTCCCTCCCATGTACCCTCTCTGCTGGCCTGATTGCCCACAACTTCCCTTCCTCGCAGACCTGGTCCCTCCCAACTGCCCTCCCCTGCTGGCCATCTTGTGTCCACTTGGGGGCAGTCATCTTTGACCACGTGGAGGCAGCCACATTGTATGATGGAATGATGGCCAATTTGCATATTATTCTTTCATTAGATGGAAGTAGATAGAATAGAGACTTGGTGCATGAGTGGAAGCAAGCTGGTTTGCCCTGAAGGGTGTCCCATGTCAGCGTGGGGATTCGCTTTGCATATGGGGTGGCCTGGGCGATGGGCCTATGGTGATTTGAAGGCTGGCCACGCCCCCTGGCAACCCAAATGGAGGCCCAAGTGGAAGTACTAAATGAATATCTGGGATTTATTTACCTTCTATAAGTGAAACTTTGTAGCCTTGAGTGGAGGCCTAGGCTAGCCAGGGCTGTGGAAAGCTTGGCTTCCTCAATCACTGAGGGCAACTCAAGCCTCTGGCTCTCTGTGGCTGCAGCCATCTTGATTGGGCTAATTTGCATATTCACTTCTGATTGGCTGGTGGGTATGACTTGTGGGTGTTGCAGAGATAAGGCCAATTTGCATATTATTCTTTTATTAAATAGGATTCAGAATCTTACATTAAAGAAAGAAGGATCCAAATTACTTTTCATATTATATAATCATAATTACTGTTTTCTTTTGCTAATTATAAAATTTTGCACTAGGTGAGTATATATATATATATTTAGACACATACACATATAAATATAAATATGTTAATGCATGTATATTAATGTTCTGAGTAGGAAATTTACTACAATGCTAAGTAAATAGGACTATAACCCTCAGAGTGAGAAAGTTGATAACTTGTAGGAGGCTGTTCTTTTGATGGCAGACCAGAAACTAAATGAGGCACAGTAGCTAAGCTACAGTGTGGATGTTATTTCTGACAGAGGTAAATAGTTATGTTATGTTTTTAACCAAATAAGTGTAATAAGCTAGTATAAGCAAAGTATATTTCTGTGATAAGGTAGCTAGCTAGTGTGACAATTGTTTAAGCAGTGGTTTTCAACAGGTGTAGGAGAGTTTTCACCCCAGGAGACTTTTTTTTGGCTTACATGACTAAAGGGTGTTACTGGCAACTAGTAGGTAGATGCTGGAGTTGCTGCTAAATATCCTACAATACACCGGATAGCCCTACACTACAAATAGTGATACAGCCCAAAAGGTCAACACTGCTTTGTTTGAGAAACTCCTTTAGGGTGTTTGTTTGTTTTTTGTTTTTACCTGCCACATTATAGCCTAAATATTTTTCAAAATTTCATTTAACAAATAAACCTTTGATAGAGATGTAATAGTTATAATAATTTTATGATTTTATTTTTGTGAAAACGTTTATGAATGGAAGTATATTTGTATGTATTTGGAATAATTTAGGAGAGGAAAGAATCAAGGATGAATGCAAAGTTTCTAGCTTGAGCAACTCATCAGGATGTTGGTAACATTATTTGAAATGAGGAAAACAGATCTGTGGAACAAAATCTTCAGTTCAGATTTTATACTTGTAAAATTTGAAGTACCTAAGAGATATCAAGAGGAAGTCCTAAAGATCAGAATATAGGTGTTCAGATATATCTTTAAATTGAAATTTGTCAGTATATGAATAAATTGGTACTGAGATTGGAGGAAATCACCCACCAGAATGTATATCTTCTTTTAAAGTATATTTTTATTGATTTCTGAAAGGTAGGGAGAGGAAAAGAGAGAGAAACATTAATGATGAGAATCATTGATTGGCTGCCTCCTGTATACCCCTTACCAAGGATTGAGCCCTCAACCTGGATATGTACCCTGACTAGAATAGTACCATGACCTCCTGGTTCATAGGTTGATGCTCAACCACTGAGCCATGCTGGCCAGTCATCTTAAGAAGTAAAGAGTACCTTATAGCACAGTGCTTAGGAACACCAACATTCACAATATGAATAGAGGAGAATCTAGCAAAAGACTGAGATAAAATAGGATGTTATCCATAAGTGTAATTTTCCAAGCCAAGGGAAAAGAAATGTTTTTAGGTGAATGAGTGGTTATTGATATGGAGGCTGTTGTTGACTATGGTCATACCCATGAGAGTGACTAGAAACCAAATTACAGTGGGTTGTGAATTCATTGTTAAGTAATTTAGTTGTGTTGTAGATTTATGTCATTTTGGCTGGGAAGGCCTTCAAGGTTATAGTGAATAATGTTTTATAATACATTAAATAGTTGCTTGGATTCTAAGTGATTCAGCAAGTATGAAAATAGTTCTGTATTTCCACCGATAAAGGTGTATGTTTGACAATAAAACATTACTTTTGTTTTTCAGACCTTTCAAGAAATCGTTTTGCAGAAATTCCTTCTGATATCTGGTTATTTGCACCTCTTGAAACATTAAATTTATATCATAATTGCATTAAAACCATTCCTGAAGCCATTAAAAACCTGCAGATGTTAACGTACCTTAACATTAGGTAAGGAAGTAATTTGGGGGGTAAATTTTGTTTTTATCATAGTTTTAATCATTTTAGTAGCAAAGGAATGTGTTTGGTTTGGCTATGTAGACTATATTTATCTCAGTAGTATCTTATTTGTATTTCTTGTATGTCCACACTATTGTATAGGCCTTTAGTATTGTTTTTGAGAGCAATGCTTCTCAAACTATTGTGCCCGGGAATCACCTGGGGATTAAAACAGAATTCTGATTTTATAGGTCTGCAGTGGAACCTGCATTTCTAACAAGCCACTTGGTAATGCCCATGCCTGCTGGTCCTTAAGTCACTTTGAATAGCAAGACGTTACATTAGAAATATTTTACTGAAATCATACCACCACAATACTGATTTATTTATATGCTTCCTCAGTTAAATAAAGAGTCCTTGTGATATTTTTCACACTCCTGTGACTTTCTGGTGCTACTTCAAGGATTGATAGATTGGGATGGAAATGGTGGAACATTAGGAGGTGGATGACAGTTGATGTTAATATCTAATAAGTGCTTACTGTGTGCCAGGCAATGTTACAGTTACTTTACACATATTACCTCTTGTTCACAACAGCCTTTTGAGATATGTACTTTTATTAACTGTGTAGTTTTATTATTACAGATGAGGAAACTGAAGCACAGAGAAGTTAATTATTTGCCCAAAGTTCTGTATGGGGTGTCTCCCAGAAAATGTATACAAATACATTAAATGAAATAGTGCATATAAAGATTTTAGTCTGATACAAACTAAGCATTCATTAAATGATAGTTATTATTTAGTCAAAGCTTCTTATTTACTTTTGAGGTGATTTGTTCTTTTTTAGCATAATGTGTCAGGTTTCAGACATACTGCTAATAATAAGACTTTCTTATTCTTTTCAGTCGAAATCTTTTATCAACATTGCCAAAATACTTATTTGACCTTCCTCTTAAAGTTTTGGTCATCAGTAATAATAAACTGGTATCCATTCCAGAAGAAATTGGGAAGTTAAAAGATTTAATGGAATTGGTGAGTAAAGCAGTTGTATTGATTGTATATAATATGCATAATACATGCCTTAATATTTTGGAATACTACGCATTTCTTTATGTAATTTCACTGTAATTTTAAAGAAAAGAATAACTTGATATGTGCCTAAGTTCACTTTAGGAAAATTTCTAAATACTATTGCTTATCTGATTTTTGCTCACAGCCAATAAAAGCCTGATTTGTTCCTTAGTCCTCATTAGAGGCTTGCTTCTCCTAAGAAATGCTTTTCAAACGAATAAGCATTTGCTACTCATTTTGTTGAAAGTAAAGGTCTTAACAATAAAAAATACAAGGATTTTTTTAAGGTATTACAAGGCTGCTATGAGAGCTTCAGAGAAAGAGGATAAACAGTAGGATGAACAAAACTCATGTGATTTTATAACAGTTTTTAGGACCAAGATAAATGGAAAGAGGCCATTATATACAACTGATTGTAGATATAGGAATAATTTAAAGGACATTGAACTCTGAGAGGAAACATAGTCAGATATTCATGGCATTGAGCTAATTTTCACATTTAAAAAATATATATATATATATATATATATATATATATTATTGATTTTGTACAGAGAGGGAGGGAGAGAGATAGAGAGTTAGAAACATCAATGAGAGAGAGTCATCGACCAGCTGCCTCTTGCACTCCCCCCCCACTGGGGATATTCCTGCAACCAAGGTACATGCCCTTGACTGGAATCGAACCCGAGTCCCTTCAGTCCCCAAGCCGACGCTCTATCCATTGAGCCAAACCGGTTTCGGCTAATTTTCACATTTCTATTACTTCCAGTTCATACAGTACACTATGCTGTTTACTTTTATCTTGTTTTACCTCGAGTAATGCTTTTCTAATACATAGATATTTTAAAAGTATTCTTAAGTGCGGCTTTATTATGTGTGAGTGGCCAAAATTTTTTTTGAGGAACTTATTTACAATTTTAAAATGAGAAATTAATATGCTAATAGAATGTAATGAACAGAAATATCTTTTATTCATTAAGGAATACATGCATGTGCAATTATTGCACAAGGAAACTTCCTTGAACTTAGTCTTGCTATGTTTTAGAACCAGATAATTTTAAGGTGGTAACAGATCTTATAAGTGATCAGATATAAGCACTTCCTAACGCAGGAATCCCTATCACTCTAGCTGGATATGTTCAATGGTGGAAAATTTGTGCGTGTGTGTGTCTGAGGCAGTCCTAATTCTCTTTTGCAAAACTATTTGTTAACCTTTTTATTTTGCACTAAAATCCATGCCTCTATCACTTTTATCTACTGGTCCTGGGACTACCTTGCGAAGAAGCATAGATCATAACAACCTCACTTCCCTTCTGATGTTTGTAATCTTTCGTGTGTCTACTCTCCATTTTTTCAAACTCTAAGGCCTGTTTATCTGTAGCTTAAACATCATTATTACTTTTATTCCTTTCTAAATTTCTGTTCTTTATTACTTTTTATTTTTAACTATTTCTGTCTCGAAAGTGTTCTCTTTTATTAAGGTCTCTTTTAATGTTATACGTACAATGAACAGAAGAGTTCAGATGTTGATCTAACAAATTTATAATGAAAGAGAACCATTACTTTCTTTGACCTGGACACTTAATATTTTTAAAGATTTTATACATGTTATACTTTTAGATTCCATGACTCTACTGTTTATTTTTCTTTTTTCATTCAATTTTTGGACTTGTGTTCTAAATTATATGACATGAGACAGTTTGGGGATAAGTGAAATTTCAAAAATATTTAGACTTTTTAGAATTTTTTTTTAAATCTTTATTGTTGAATGTATTATAGATGTCTCCCCCTTTCCCCCCACTGACCCTTCTCCACCCTGCTCCTCCCTCTGACCTTCACTGCACTATTGTCTGTGTTCATGGGTTATGCATACTAGTATTGCATATAAATTCTTTAGTTAATCTCTTCCCACCTCCCCTCCTTCTATCTGAGATTAGCCAGTCTGTTCCATCCTTCCATGTCTCTGGAATTATATATTATAGTATATTTATTTAAAGAGAATATTTGTTACCAGAATCCCATTGATTTTCTTTGGGTCTGCCTGCCTGTGTTCACTGGCCCAAAGAAATGCACAAGCAGGAGTTTGAAGTATACATAGAGAAAATGATGTAATAATTTAATAATAATTGTCTCTCCAATACAGAGACAGAGCACTTTAGCTCTAAATGAAACAACTCCATGATGGCATGTATGTTACAGATTATATAGGGATAAATCACAAAGTACTGTGGGTTGGGGGTTCGGGATCATGCTGGGAGCTGATTGGTCAGAAGTGAGGTGAGGGTAATCATTTTTTTTTAGGCCTTAAGGACAGCTCTGACGTCTTTTCTAACCTCCCTTTGTTTAGCCTCATGGAAAAGTAGACAAGGAATCATTCTGCTTTAGGGATCAACAACTGAAACATAGCTTAGGTCAAGATGTTATCTTTAGTCAGCTAGAGGTCCAGACCTTGTGACCAAAAGTCAAGTCCGGACTACTATCTTCTTCTGCTTTTGGGGGTTGCTGATTATCTGGGGGAAAGGCTAGTTCTCTTATGGGGTATATATAGAAAGGAGGATATGATTTCTAGAGCTAGAATTTATAACTAAATTTAAAGTCATCTTTTAAAATATTAAATATTATTTTACTAGGTATTATAAAATTATTGTGCTATAACTTTTGAAGTCAGTAACAGTGGCTATATAGCATTAGGATGGCTAATTGACAATTATAAATCACATAGTGAATTTGTGATTATTACCTGTCATTACAATATTTTCTTATGACACTATTCCACAAGAATTTAGTGGCCAATTACAGTTGAATTCTATCATTAGAAGCCTAGGAAATACTCTTAAGACCTCCAATCCCCAGAAGAGTATTTTGTAGAGTATCCATTGGTTGAGTGAGTCAGTTTCATATGCTTAGTTTTATTTGTTCTGGGAAATCTATCAAATTGCTATAGATTTTTTTAAACAAAATTTTCAGTATTGGACACCTTGGAAGAAAGTAATAGTATTTACTTTAAAGGACATTTTCCCAAACTTTTATTATTTGTCATTTGGATAATAGTCTATTCTCAACACAGCCGTTAAGTTGTCCTGTCAAAATGTAAGTCAGGTCAAGTCATACCTCTGTTTAAAAGTTTCTGGTTCCTGCCCATATTTCTCTGAGTAAAAGCCAAAGTTGTGCCCCTCTCCTCCATCGTCTTCCCCTGTGCATTTTCCTCTAGTTACACTGGATTTCTTGCTGTTCTTAGTAGGTCAAGCATGCTTTGCTTAAGAGCCTTTCCATTTATTGTTCCTTCTGTCTGGAATATGTTTTCTTTATTAATTTTATTTTTATTGGTTTCAGGTGTACAGCTTTGTGGTTAGACAATATTTTTCAGTACCCCCAACTGGCATCATACATAGTTACCACAGTATTATTGACTAAGAATAGTCTTTTCTTATATTTTTGTATAGATCACACTTTCAGCTCTGATAACACTGCTCAAATAATAGCTTCTCTATGAGACCATTTAAATTGCTAATATCACACTCAACTACCACTAGCACACTGCCATTTGCCTTTATCCTGCTGTTTGTTTGTTTTTGAAGCACTTATCTTCTAGCATATTATATAATCTCCCCATTGCTAGAATACAAGCTCCATAACAAGCTGTGAGGGCAGGAATTTTTGTTTGCTTTATTCCTTGATGTGACCTGTGGATGTGGGGGAGAAGAAACTTTCCTCTACCCACAAGGTTCTTCTGGTGTGCCTAATAATCAAATAGACATGAGACAGATTACCAAGAGAAAACGACAAAATTTAATACACACAAATGTATGGGAATTCCATATATCTGAGAGAGTCAGAGGCCCATATTCAGGAGAGTTTCAGAGTCAGAAAGGGAACATTGGTAGGTATATATGACATTCTGAGCAATGGATGAGTTAATGTACCCGGGAGCTTCAGAAAGTCACTGCAGAGAGAGCCCATGTTCAGTGATTAGTAGTTTGTCTTGCCATGTAGATTGATAAAAATACATTTCTGATAACTCTTATCATGGGCCAGGCTACTAATTTAAATTCTAGATATTTTAGGAGGGGGGAAAGGAACAGTAGTTTCTCTTGATCCCGCATGGTCTCTGTTGCCTTCAGCTCAAAATAATCCACATACCACTGAGGCACATTGGGGGTGGTTCCTTCTGAATTTCCATAGTCCCTAGCAACTAGATTAGTGCCTAGCAAATAGTTGGTATTTGATAAATATTCATTGTCGAATAAAGATGCCTTTGAAAAAAATATGTAAGACACTTTTTACTAATAATCTTTAGGTTAGATGATTAGATATTCTTTAATATTCCTTTGGATTTACCTTCCTTCAATTTTTACTTTAGATAAGAATGAATATATCTTTTATTCCTTTCCCTCCAAACTATAATAATATAATTTCCAGTGAAAGTTGGAAATTAGGGGCAGTTGTGGTAGAATATGAATTTCATTTGTAGTGTGTCTGGAATGAGTGCTGAGATCTTGTTGCAGATGTTTTTCCTCTTTTTGTTGATGTGGTAATAAGAAAGGGGAGGGAGAGGAGAGCATAATTAACTTATTTATCCTCTTTTTATGGAAATGTGGTAATGTTTATCTTTAAATCAGGGCTTGCATTTTAATTGAACCCTGAGACATTTCCTACTCAGATTTCCTAGATTGTCTTTGGGTTGTGAGCCATAAACTTTGTGTTTGTAATTCCTCATATTATGTATCCTTTTGAGAAAAGACTTAGTTAAATCAATTCTGGCCATAGACATTAGTTCTTTAGCTCACCTGTGTAAATCCTTGACTTCCTCTGCTTCTGCCCAACCAAGCATCTCAAAACAACTATAATTGAAAGATTATCACAATAGTTGATAATTGTCTTTTATTTACCTCTGAATTAAGAACACTTGGATCACCCTTACTTCTGGTTTTAATGTAGTACTAAATTATAACCTCAAATTTTTGCACAAAAAATTCATGTTAAGTAGACTAGATTGACATCATGATGTAATATAAATAGAAATCTACCAGATAATCCATCTTTAGAAAAATAACATTAAATATAACTTTTGCAACAATACAGTAGATGATGCAGAGTATCAAATCAGCTATTTGGAAAATAATGAAGCAGAAAACACCCAACCAGAACACCAAAAACAAAAAAGAATCCAAGAAAATGAACAAAGTGAAAGGAGCCTCAGGGAAAACTTCAACTGTGCCAACATTTGCAACTTGGGAATGCTGGAAGGAGAAGAGAGAGAATAAAGAATTGAAAACTTACTTGAAAAAGTAATGGAAAACTCTAACCTGGTGAAGGAAAGAGATGGTACAAATCCAGGAAGTATAGAGTCCCAAACAAGATGAACCCAAAGAGGCCCACTCCAAGACACATTATAATTAAAATGCCAAAGGTTAAAGACAAAGAGAAAAATTTAAAAGCAGCAAGAGAAAAACAATTACCTACAGGGAGCCACCCTTAAGACTGTCAGCTGATTTCTCAACAGAAACTTTGCAGGTCAGGAGGGATTGGCAAAAAATTTTCAAAGTGATGAAAAGCATAAAGATTACTCTACCCAGCAAAGCTATTGTTTAGAATTGGACAGATAAAGAGCTTGTCCCAAACAAGAAAAAGCTAAAGGAGTTCATCATCAACAAACCAGTATTACAAGAAATGTTGAAGGGTTTCTTTAAGAAGAAGAGAGAATGATTAAAAAATATATATATAAATAATAAAATGGCAATAAGTACATATCTATCAACAATTACTTTAAATGCAAATGTATTAAATATTCTAATCAAAAGACACAGTGGCTGAGTGGATAATAAAGCTATATATATATATATATATATATATATATATATATATGTATGTATTTTATATATATGCACACACACTATTTATAAGTGACTCACTTCAGATCAAAAGACCCACACAGATTGAAAATAAAGAGACAGAAAAAGATATTTTGCAAAAATGGAAACTATAACAAAAATGCTGTGGTGGCAATATTTATACCAGACAAAATAGACTTGAGAACAAAAGCTATAATAAGAGTCTAAGAAGGACCCAGCAATTCCACTTCTGGATATTTACCCAAGAAACCCAAAATGCTAAATCAAAAGACATATATACATCCATATGATTATTGCAGCATTATTTACAATAACCAAGACATGGGAGCAATCTAAGTGTCCATCAATAGATGAATGGATAAAGAGGTGGAATATGACTCAGCCATAAAAAAGAATGAAATCTTACCATCTGCAACAACATGGATGGATCTAGAAGGTATTGTGTTGAGTGGAATAAGTTAGAGAAAGATGAATGCAAGACGATTTTTTATGTGGAAACTAAAAAACAAAACAAATAAACAAGATTAACTGAACCAGAGAACATTTCTATGGTTGTCAGATGGGAGGGATTGGGGGGATGGGTGAAAAAGGTGAAGGGATTTAGAAGTACAAATTGGTAGTTACAAAATAGTCACTGAGATGTAAAGTACAACCTAAGGAATATTGTCAATAATATTGTGATAACTAGTTACGTTATGGAATATAAAACTGGTGATGAAGAGACAATTGGACAGTCAGATTTCAGGAAAAGCCTTTATTCAAAGGCTTTAAGATCCAGATCCTAAACCCCATAGACAATGAGATTTTCTCTTTATATATTTCTGAGTTTCTTTGTTTCCTAACTACCAAGCTTCTGTAATGGACTCTCAGAGCCCCCACCACCCCCCTCTCGAAAGTCAGTTAGAATGGTTAACTTAGATTGTATCTTATGTCCATTCTAGATGGCACTAGTGATCTCTCTCTAGTTAAGCTGTTGATGTCAGATGGGTACTAGATTTATTGGAGTGATCACTTCGCAAGTTATATAAATGCCTAATCATGGGGTTCTACACCTGAAACCAATATAATATTTTATGTCAACTGTAATTTAAAAATAAAAAAAATATTTTAAAAGGTAATTTTTTATCAGTCATGCACTTTAAGAATTGAAATATATCTGGTTTTTTCCCCCAGTTAGTTTGTTATAATTTTATTTTCTTATTTTCCTTAGGATATTAGCTGCAATGAAATTCAGGTTCTTCCCCAACAAATGGGAAAATTACATTCACTTAGAGAGCTCAATATAAGAAGAAATAATCTTCATGCATTGCCGGATGGTAAGATCTCACTGTTTTTTACTGACATGAATAAAAGAGCAACTATGTAAAACTTAATTTAATTCTTTTTCATTTCTGAACAGAATTAGGAGATCTTCCCTTAGTCAAGCTGGATTTCTCTTGTAATAAAGTGACCGAGATTCCTGTTTGTTACAGGAAGCTGCATAATTTACAAGTAATAATTTTGGATAACAATCCATTGCAAGTACCACCAGCGCAGGTTTGTAATAAAAATCTGTTACTTGTTTCTTCTCTTTTTATTCAGAATTATATTTGTTACTGGTAAATTGAAAAAGCATCAGATATAAAAGTTAATATGTTGTTGAGTTATTATTCTCTAAGGGAGTTTTTCTGAGAAGTGGAAGGGGGAAAAAGATTTTCCTTCTACCCGTCTAAGTGGTTTTTTTGGTAGGAGTTTTATCTTAACTTCTGGAGAATAGGATTTGAAAACCCAGCCATAAACATTTTGCTTGTGAACTGATAATTTTGATTATGAATGTTATTTCAAAAGGATAGACTATGCAGTCTTTCTACGTCTATCCCACTCAGCTATATATCTTCTTGAAACTTGTGTGAGTGATAGAAGCATTTTCTTAGCACTGATAGATAGAATCATAACAGAAAGAACACTATACACGTGTAAATGTATTAATTTAGACTTAGCTTGAGGATTAAATCCATGTGGAGTCCACTAAAATTATATTAAAGGAATACACTAAGCTATAAACCTACAAAGACAAAGAATGGAAAAGAGACACAGCAGGGGAGAGATGGCAACAGAATTTTGGAGAATGGAAAATATATGGAATAGTGGTAACTAAGGTCTCTAATTATTACTGCACAAGAGTATCTGGCTGAGGAGGCACATGGCAGTGAAACTTCAGCCTGCCCTCTACTTCCAAGCTATGTGCTAAGGCAGTGTTGCATACATCCAAAAGAAGGGGTGGTTGCCCTTTTCCTTCTACAAAGGTACATTCCACTCATTCCAAAGGAGGTGCCTTTTCTAATTCAGATCAAGTCTGACAGGAGTCCTGGTAGTAGCTGCCTGAGCATGATAAAGAGAGCTGAAACTTATGTCTGCTATGAGAGAAGGCAACAAGAAATAAATTGATTTACTGTGTTAAACCTGGGGATTATGGGTATTTTTGTTGTTGATTATTGAAGGAAACAGGAAGCTCTGAATATAGGGATGAAAGACTGAAAACTCAAAAGTCTGTACAATGTTTAAGGCACTGCTGTTCAGTAGAAGTTTCTGAATGAAGGTGTGGAAGGGGGAAAATATTTTCCTTCTACCATTCTAAGTTATTCTGTCTGGTCTAATAATCAAATTTACATGAGACAGATTAATGGGAGAAAATAGCCAAATTTATTACTGATGTACATGTGTGGGGTAAGAATATGGAATCCCAGGACAAATCCTGCAGTTGATGCTTATATGCCCTCCTTGGGAGTCAGGGAGGGGGTAGTAGTTTGGAGTTCAAAGGGAAGGTAGGCAATTCACAGGTAGATAAGAAGGAACAAAGATTTGGTAAACAAATTTTTTCCAGGCTACCCAGACATAGAGTGGGTCCAACAAACAAGTTTTGCAGGTTTCTTTCTGCCAAATTTAATTCATATTATGCTAAGGTGATCTCCCTTTCTGGAGCAGGTTTTTCCAACTGATTTTTTTTAAAAAAAAAAAACAACAACAACAGGTAAGTAAGAGGTAAAAGGCTCCTTTAGAGTCTTTTCTCTCTTAAAATTACAATATCCTCCAAAATGGTATTTTGTTTCTTAAAATAGTAAATATCCCCAAAAGTGGTATTTTGAAGCAGCAAACTCTGTTCCCCTTAGTGGGAATGTTTTATAAACTGTGCTGCCCAGTGCCATAGTCATTTGCCACATGTGGCTACTGAGTACTTGAAATATGTATTGGTAGAAGGTGAAAGATGAAATAGTGAAGGCTGGAGACCAGGATGCCAGGACACAGGCTTTATTTAAGACAAGAGTGCCAGCTGCTTCCAGAGAGAGATCGAGAGAGCGCCGAAGAAAGAAAGAGAGCGAGGGCCAAGGTACAAACACTTTTTAAGGGGAGGATAGGGGACAGGCCTTAGGGCACTCAGCACATGCTGATTGGTGGTTTCATGCAAGGCCTATGATTAGGGACCTAGGGACTTAGGAATCCAGGGCTTAGGGTATTTGGCAGGTGCTGATTGGTGGTTCAATGCTCAGGAATGTCTAGCTGCAGGTGGAGTTTACATCTGTCCATCAGTTGGAGGAAGGGAGGATCTATCAGAAGGAACCAAAATTTAAGTTGGATTTTATATTATTTTTAAATCTTTTTAAACTGATCCAAAATGGATCATGAGCTTTTAAAAATTTCTTGATTGATCAGAGAGGGAAAGAGAGGCCAATTTATTGTTCCACTTATTTATGCATTCATTGTTTTTTTCTTGTATATATCCTGACCTAAGATCAGACATTTGAATTTTATTTTTATTAATTGAAATTTAAATAGTTTTATGTGATTAGTGTCTACCATTGGACACTACAGGTCTAAAATTTACACAGTCAGATTAGTGCCCTTAGCTCCGAAACCACATGACCCTCCATTTGCATTAGCAGAATCCTGGGGTTTACTCTTTTTAAAAAAAATATATTTTATTGATATTTTACAGAGAGGAAGAGAGAGGGATAGAGTGTTAGAAACATCAATGAGAGAGAATCATCCATCAACTGCCTCTTGCATACCCCTACTGGGGATGTGCCCGCAACCAAGGTACATGTCCTTGCCCAGAATCGAACCCGGGACCTTTCAGTCCACAGGCCGACGCTCTATCCACTGAGCCAAACTGCTCCTGGCCTGGGGTTTACTCTTGAGGAGTAGGTAGATTCCCTCCCTCAACTCAGCAGGCAAATGATTATAGCTTCTTAATATGACAATATTATGCTTGGAATTTACTCTTTAGAGAAGTGCTGTCTATTAGTACTTTATGTGGTGATGGAAATGTTCTCTATCTGCATTATCCAATGTAGTAACCACAAGTGGTTGTTGAGCACTTGAAAGTGTATTATGTGAATGAAAATTTGAACTTTTGGTTTTATTTAGATATAATTAATTCAAATAGCCAAATGAGGCTAGTGGCTACTGTATTGGATAGCACTATTGTAGGGAGATTCAAAACTGGAGTCAAGTGCTCCAAGCATAGCTATGGGCAGAAGTGAGACCTTATACTGAAAACAATGAGTGCTTTACATAGTGAGTGTGGGACCTTCCAGTAGACTGTCTTACTTGGTTCTCAGAATGCTTTTAGCCTGTTTTATTTATTTCAGGCAGGATGGCTGGATTTCTCTCTTGGATGATTGATTGAACTAGGAGAATAAACTGATCTTTGAATGGGTCTCCTGATGAAATGGCCAGTTCCTGTCTGGTTACTAGACAGTGAGGCTCACTGTTAATAAACTTCCCCTCATACACAGATATTTCAGTTGACTTCTTAATTGCTTCACTCTTAAAGATAAATATTATTAGATAGCCACAGATCACTAGACATTTTCAGGAAAAATGTTTAACATAAAAGACAGAAACCAAAGTACTGAAAACCTTCCATTGAAACAAAATGGGTCACATTCATAGGAGTGACAAACAGAATGACTTCTCAGTAGCAGCATAGGAAGCTAGAAGATCTTAGAACCACATCTTCAATGACTAAGGGAATATTTACATCTTTCTGTACGCAAACTATCAGTCAAGTATGAGGTAGAAAAAAGATAGTTTCAAACATGCAAAGTCTCAGAAATTTTAATTTTCATGTAGCTTTTATTAGAAAGCTAGCAGAATTTGTGCTGTATCAAAATGTGGTAGTAAATGAAGAAAGAAAAATCCTTCATGTTAAAGATCAATAGATTTGCAATAGGCCTAGAGAGCAACCAGTTGGGTTGGAGTAGAGTGGTTGTCTTCAAAAAGAAAAAGAAATAAATTGATAAATGACTTGATGTCTTTGTCAGTATGGAGAGGATTTTGTCAGAGAGTTAGAAATTAATTAGTAATAGGCATACAGAAACTTATGCAAATGAAAAATGAGGCAATTAGTCAAACAAAAACTTGCAGGAGAAAGAAAATGTGCTCTAACTTATGTGGTTCATCTGTGAATACTTTCTTACTCATAATAGTGTAAATATTCTATTTTGATTTAATGAAAAATTGTGTTATAATAATAATATTAAAAATAAATATTTATATAGCACTTACTGTGCTCCAGACATTGTTGACAATGTTTTATATGCATTAATTCATTTTTATATGCATTAATTCATTTTTTATAAACAGGTACTGTCATTGTACCTCATTTTATGTACGAGGAAACAAGGGCATAGAAGTTAAGTGACTTGCCTAAGGTCATATGCTAGCAAGTGGTAAAGGCCAGATTCAAATCAAGGATATCTGACACCAAAGTTTGTGCTCTAACCACTATACTATACTTCTGAAGAGGGAGGAAGTATGTTTCTGTGAGTTTATGGTTATTGGAGATGGGAGGATGGTAGTAGTGGTATTTATGATATATGAAAGTGGTGGTAGTTATAAAATAAGAATTATAAATTCTGGGAACTCATACAACTTAACAAAAGGAAGATAACCCAGTCAAAAAAATGGGCAATGGATCTAAATAGATACTTTTCAAAATAAGACAGAAGGAAGGCCAAGAGGCATATGAAAACATGCTCAAAGTCACTAATCATCCAAAAGATGCAAATCAAAACGACAATGAGGTACCATTTCACACCTGACAGAATAGCTATCATCAGCAAATCAACAAATGACAAATGCTGGAGAGGATGTGGAGAAAAAGGCACCCTCTTGCACTGCTGATGGGAATGCAGACTGGTTTCCCACTGTGGAGAACAGTATGAAGTTTCCTCACGAAACTAAAAATGGAATTCCCATTTGACCCAGTGATCCCACTTCTAGGAATATATCCCAAGAAATTAGAAACACCAATCAGAAAGGATATATGTACCCCTATGTTCATAGCAGCACAATTTACAATAGCTAAGATTTGGAAACAACCTAAGTGCCTATCAGCAGATGAATAGAAAAACTGTGGTACATCTACACAATGGAATACTACACTGTGGTAAAAAAGGTGTTATTAAAATTTGCAACCGCATGGATGCAACTGGAGAACATTATGCTAAGTGAAATAAGCCAATCAGCGAAAGATAAATATCACATGATCTCACTCATTTATAGAATATAATGAGCAACATAAACTGATGAACAAAAATAGATCAAGAGACAAGAGAAACATCAATCAGATCATCAAACCTTAGATGGAAGGTAGTGGAGGGTGGGGATAAGGGGGAGAGATCAACCAAAGGACTTGTATTGACACAGACAACAGGGGTGTGAGGGCATGTGTGGAGGGGTATTGGGGGGATAATAGGGGAATAAGGACACTTTAATAAATTTAAAAAAAGAAATCTAAATCCTCTTTTTTCCTTAGTAAGATTTGAACAGTAAAGTCTGTAGTTGAAAAATAAAAATAGGATAGTAATAAAACCATGTTATTTATAAATATGAAGGTAAATAACAGAAAACCAAATACAAGCCTTCAATGAGGGACTGGGTCTTGGTGATTGGAGGTGATGGAATGGAGAATTACTTTTTAAAAATATGTTCTTATGTATTTTAAAGAGAGAGGGAGATTGAAATAGAGAAAGAGAAAAATACATCAATGTGAGAGAGAAAAATCGATCAGTTACCTCCTGTACATATCCTGACTGGGTATCGAATCTGCAACCTGGACATGTGCCTTGACTGGGAATTGAACTAGTGTCCCTTTGACACCTGGGACAACGCTCAACCAGTTGAGCCACACTGGCCAGGGCTAGAATTAATATTTTGTTATCAGTTTTATAATTCTCTGTGACTTTTAAAACCGTGTACATGAATTACTATTATAAAAATTGAATTTACAAAAGAAAATAATTGATCAGAATTTAATTTGGTAATATAATAATTTTTTTTAGTTTGGAAAGATAACAGGATACATCTTAATTGGTAATATGTTATTAATTCTAATAACTCCAATGCTCTAATTTTTATTTTCAATTAAATTTTTCAGTGGTCAAGTCAGCTCTGGTAACTATTAGATTTATCTAAAAAATGGTTCTCCTTTATACTTCCAATGATAATTACTTCTTAATGTATTTTACTTACTGTTTTTTTATTGATTATTTTGATATGTATTGGTAGGTTATGTGAGCTCATAAAACAAAATACTTTTATTACAATTTTTGAAAGATACTTATTTAATATTACTCATGGTGACTGCAGTTAACCTTTATAAATTTGACTTACTACTTCCTTACCACTCATTATCTATCCTTTTTATATAGCATACTTTCTTTCACATAGTATTTCACCCCTCATTATTGTTTTTCTCTCTATCAGCAATGAAAATAACTTTTCAGGATATTATCTTAGTTGAATTGACCATTTAAATATTATTTTATTCTAATTGGCCTACCCTCACACCTTTCAACAAATTCATTTTTTCTATATTTAAATAATTTTGATTAGCTTTCCTCCAGTGTTTAGCCCAATGAACTTAGTGGTTCTGATGAAATTACATTCAAGAATTACATGAAATTTTAAAAATATATATATATATATATTTCATTGATTTTTTTTACAGAGAGGAAGGGAGAGGGACCAGAGAGTCAGAAACATCCATGAGAGAGAAACATTGATCAGCTGCCTCCTACACACTCCCTACTGGGAATGTGCCCACAACCAAGCCACATGCCCTTGACCGGAATCCAACCTGGGACCCCTCAGTCCATAGGCTGACCCTCCATCCACTGAGCCAAACTGGTCAGGGCACATGAAAAATTTTTTTTGTTCTTGCCACTACAATAAATATATTTCTTTTTGCTTTTTTCTGATAAAGGCAACTCTCATAAGTTGTAAATTTTATATTGGTTACCGGTTTGTACATTGTACTGTTAACAAGGAAACTTTAGTGAAATACAGAATAATTAATGTAGTTTTTCTAATAAGAACAGAGACAGCAATAGAACTTTAGTTGGTATCAGTGTTATCAGATTTTTTTCACCTAGTGTCAGAAGTACAAATTAATTAAGTATGCAATGTTTCTATCATGTTAGTGGTGTCTCAGCATAATTTGAAGTTATTAAAATGTAAGTAAATTGGTAGATAGCATTTATTTTGGACCTATATAATTAAACCTTTCTCCATTATTTATTGACAGATATGTTTAAAGGGTAAAGTACACATATTTAAATACTTAAGTATCCAAGCATGTTGCAGAATGGATAAGAAACCAGATTCTCTGGATCTTCCATCATTGAGTAAAAGAATGCCCTCCCAACCTCTCACAGACAGGTAATGTAATAATCTTACAGTCTTGTTTCATGATTAATATATTCTCTTTATATAAAAGAGCCGGGACCGGTTTGGCTCAGTGGAGAAAGCGTCGGCCTGCGGACTGAAAGATTCTGGGTTCGATTCCGGTCAAGGGCATGTACCTTGGTTGCGGGCACATCCCCAGTGGGGGGTGTGCAAGGGGCAGCTGGTCAATGTTTCTCTCTCAACGATGTTTCTAACTCTCTGTCCCTCTCAATTCCTCTCTGTGTAAAATCAATAAAATATCTATTTTTTAAATTAAAAAAAAATATATTCTCTTTATATAAAAGATATTTATTAATCTTGAGTGTACTGAATATGTTTAGGCTGATTGTTTCAGTGTTAAATTCAATTTTTTGAAGTGAAATATTATGATCATAGAATGAACTTCTGGAATCCTAGAATCAACTTGTAATTTTCTCAAAAATTAATTATTATTAAAGTTTTAGTAGTAGCATGTAAACATTTATATCATAGTGCAGAAATACCAATTTCTCAGTATCTGACAATTATTACTCCTATGATCACCCTATTATATTTTTTAAATAACTATGTAGTAGAAGTTGATTTTGACCTGAATTTGGTGGAAGATCCAGGCATTTTTGAGTGCTTCCTTACTTTATATTTTTTATATTTAGATCAAAGATGATTTATCATCAATGTTCAGTATGATATTGATGCTTTTATTCTCATGAGATTTTTAAATGATCGATTTGATGTTGTTTTTAATTTATATTTTAAAGATGTACATTGGTCTAATTATATGAAAACAATTCCATCCAGAAGTATGGAAAATAATTGGGATGGGGTGAGGCTGTATTAAGGTTTGACATTGTATTTATGACAAAATTTAGACTACTTGGAATGGCAGTATAATAAGTACTGTTATTAATAGTGCAAGTCTTGGAATTCCCAAATAGGACTTTTTCTTGAATTTTTCCTGCTGCCTAAGTAGAATTAAGTATCCAAACATTAAATTTAGTTCCTAAAGATTCTTTTGTTTAATGTTATGGATGATAGTAAACCAAACTATTCTATAAAAATTAGACTTAATTTATATTCTGTACTCTATTAGTTTGCTTTACATTTATTTAAAAATGAATTTACTTTAGTAACAGCATTTATTATCAGTCATTTATTTATTCTACAAATATTGGTAGCATGCCTACTGGTTCAGGGTATGTTTTGTTGGATGATATACATATTGGTCTTGGCCTTCATGTAGCTCATAGTCTAATGGAAGAGTCAATTAATAAACAAAGCAAGGGAACACATGACACATAATTTCAAATTTCCTTGCTATAAAGGGAAGGAACATGTTTTAAGAGTAAAGATAGGAAATGTCTCCTTGATATGGACTGATTTAATTTAAGACCTGACAAGAGAAAAATTATCTATGAAAAGACTGAGGGAAAGAACATTTCAGACACAAATAATGACATGTGCAAAGGCCTTAAATTAGGAAGAGTCTTGGGTATGAAAAACTAACCCTAGCCTGTTCTGTTCAGTGGTTGGAGCGTCAATCCTCCTACTGAAGGATCCTAGACCCCAATCCAGGGGCACAAATCCAGGTGTCTCTCACATCAGTGTTTCTCTCTCTCTGTCTCTCCCCCTCCCTTCCATTCTGTCTAAAAATGAGAAAAAATATCCTTAGGTGAGGATTAACAAAATGAAACAGAACAGAACAGAACAAAAAAGTAAATGGAGGCCAGCATGGTTGAAGCAGAGTGGCTAAAGGCTAGAATGGTATGTGTTGATTCTGGTTAGTAAGGACTCAAGTCACGTGGGGGCTTTTGAAGCTGTGCTAATTAGTTTGAATTGTATTTAAATTACAGTGGGAGTTCATTGGACAGCTGGGGAATGACATGATCTGATTTATGTTAAAACAACAACAACAAACCTATCTTCGCTTATATAGGGAGAATAGATTGGAAGTAAACAAAAATAGAAATAGAGGGACTAGTTAGGTTGTTGCAGTACTTCCAAGAGATCAAGGGATCTTCAGTAAGGTGATTGCAGTAGAGATGAAAAGGAGTGGATAGAGTTGAGATATATTTTGGAGAAGTCTCTAGCAGTGTCACTCAATAAAATGTGATGTGAGTCATATGGAATTTTAAATTTTCTTGTAACCCATGCAAAAACAAAAGTAAAAAAGAAGCAGGTAAAATTAATTTTAGCAATACACATTATTTAACTCAGATAAAAATATTTCAAAATCTAATTTAAATAGAAAAATTAGTGAGTTTATTTCACATTCTTTTTTTCCTATTAAGTCTTTGAAATCTGGTGTGTATTTTATTTACATTTACAGCATGCCTCAATTTGGACTAGCTACATTTAAAGTGCTCAATAGCTATATACTCCTGGAAAAATTCTTGTATGTACATTTCACACTCATGCCCTTGCCTATATTGTTCTTACTACTCATAAAACCCTTCCTTCTTGCTGAAACCGGTTTGGCTCAGTGGTAGAGCATCAGTCTGCGGACTGAAAGGTCCTGAGTTCAATTCTGGTCAAGGGCATGTACATTGGTTGCGGGCACATCCCCGGTGGGGGGTGTGCAGGAGGCAGCTGGTCGATGTTTCTTTCTCAACGTTTCTAGCTCTCTACTTCTCTCCCTTCCTCTCTATAAAAAATCAATAAAATATAAAAAACAAAAACAAAATAAAAAAAACCCTTCCTTCTTGACTAGTTTGAAAACTGTTCATTCTACAAAGGTAGGCATTACAGTAATTAAGTATGTCCGCTTTTGGAGTCAGACATAATATACCTGTAAAGCCCTTCTCTGACTCTGTGTTCTTGTGCCATAATGTCTCTGGTCCTCTATATTCTTTTTCTTTTGCTCCTTAGTTTTCTTATATGTAAATAAAAAATAATATGCATATGTCAGGATTAAATGAAATAATGTCTATATAGCACTTAACACAATGCCAAACCCAAAATAATTCCTTAACAAATAGCTTATTATTATCATTATCATCTTTTAGAAATACACAGATGTATTTTAATAGTACATAGTATTATTGTGCAGTAGAGTCAGATGCATTTCAGCTCTAATCACGGTTTAACCTCTTAATTACTCTATGGACTGTGTAAGGTATTTAATCTCTCTGAGCTTTTTTATTTAAAATGTTAATAATACCGCCGAAACCGGTTTGGCTCAGCAGTAGAGCATCTGTCTGTGGACTGAGGGGTCCCAGGTTCGATTCCGGTCAAGGGCATGTACATTGGTTGTGGGCATATCCCCGGTAGGGGGTGTGCAGGAGGCAGCTGGTCGATGTTTCTCTCTCATCGACATTTCTAGCTCTCTATCTCTCTCCCTTCCTCTCTGTAAAAAATCAATAAAATATATTTTTTTAAATGTTAATAATACCCATTTTCTAAGCTTATTATGAGAATTAAGTATGTGATTGGCAATTGATAGTAACAAAATAGTTATGGAGGTATAAAGTACAGCATAGTGAATATAGTCAATAATATTTTAATACATATGTACGATGTCAGGTGGGTACTGGAAGTATTGGGGAGGCCATGTTGTTAAGTATATAATATTCTAACCACCATGCTGCATTCCTAAAACTACCATAGTACAAAATAAAATTAAATGTAAGTTATAATTGAAAAATAAAATATTTTAAAATAATGAAAATAATAGATTTTTAAAAATAATTTTGAAACCCACACTTGAAAGTACAATGTAGGGCTCAATTTTTATATAAATCTGAAATATCTAATAAAAATAAAAATAACAATGCTAATAGTAATATAAAAAATAAATGTGTGTGCCTTGGTTTGGCTTAGTGGATATAGCGTTGACCTGTAGACTGAAGGGTGCCGCATTCAATTCTGGTCAAGGGCACATGCCTGGGTTGCAGGCTCAATCCCCAGTAAGGGAAGTGCAGGAGGCAGGCAATTAATTATTCTTTCTCATCATTGATGTTTCTATTCTCTCTTTCTCTCCCTTCTCTGAAATCAATAAAAAATAAATGTGTGCTTGGCAGCTAGTTCAGTAGATGATATTCAGTAAATGTTATAATTTTTCCCCATGGAAAAACTTAGAAGCTTTATTATCCTCATTTGTAAAACGATATAGTGCACAAATTACATAATGTAAGGATTAAAAGTAAAATATGAAGTACCTAACACAGTGTAGATGCTCAACAAATATTAGCAATTATTGCGTCTTTTTATCCTTCAAGACTAAGCACAAATGCCCTTTTCTTGGGTGAGGCCTTTCCTAACCTTACAAGGAGAATTAATTTATCTTTTCTCACAGCATTTTATATTTACCTTTGTCATAGTCTTCGAGACATATAAATATACTTATTTCACCTGTGGTCTGGGAGCCCTTTGAGGTCAAACATTTTTTTAATTCATTTCATCTCAAGCATTCAGCATAGTGCCTCATAGTTGGCAATTTCTTCCCTAAGTTTATTAATATACTCCAGAAAAGTTTAAAGATCAGTTTGGGGGGAGGATATATAGCATAGTGATTAAGATCAGGGACTTTAGTGTTAATCTAGGGATTAAATTTAGACCGCTATTTGCAACTTGCATATCATTGGGTAAATTGTTCAACCCTTTCCCAACTCTGTTTCCTCATCTGTAAAATGAGAAAACACCAACAATCTGCTAGAGTTTTTACAAGGAATATATGAGGTATTGTCTTTAGAGCACTTAGCCCAATTCCTGGCACATGCTAAGTGGTCAATATAGGGTGTTTAGTAAATTTGCAAATCGAAGTGAAAAAAATTACTTCACTACCTGGGTGGCATACTGTCTATTCAGAAATTTGCAAAGACAGCTCTGACCTCACTCCAGAAAAATTATTTATTCAATGCTTTGCAAACTTTGTTTTATATTTTCTCTTTTTTCAGTTATTAAATGGACATTATTCATAAAGCTAAAGCATATTTTTAGAGCTAATGAAGAAGAAAGTATGAATTAAAATTTAAAAATATTTCATCATTTGGCCTAGCTGGTTTGGTTTAGTGGATAGAGCATTGGCCTGCAGACTGAAGGGTCCCAGGGTTCGATTCCAGTCAAGGGCACATGCTCAGGTTGTAGGTTTAATCCCCAGAAAGGGACAGCCAGTCAATGATTCTCTCTCATCATTGATATTTCTCTCTCTCTCTCCCTTCCTCTCTGAAATCAATAAAAATATATTTTAAAATATTTCATTATTCTATGGTGAAATTTGTCAAACCAATGACAAAACCAATAAGATGATTTTGTAGCAGGGCTATCTGCTTTTCTGAATCTCTCAGGAGAAATTAAAGTATATTATTAACAATTGACATTTTATAACAGAGCACATGAAGGAAAAATATTTCATGAAGGTCATGAATAAAGTGTTTTGTTAGGAAGGTTCCTGACATTTCCCCCCTCCTGTCCTTAAGGATCTTAGACATCAAAAGTGTATATTCTGTATTATATAGAAAAATTTTAGGTCAAGTCTGTATTATCTATTTAAGAAGAAAACCCTGACTGTTCTTAGAATTTCTGTTTCCATAGTATGGAAGATTTTTATCCAAATAAAAATCCTGGCCCTGACTCTGGAATTGGAAGTGATAATGGAGAGAAACGATTATCTGCAACCGAAGTGAGTATTTTTTATTGCTGATCTATTTTATTTCAAAATTTTATTAGAGCTTTGAAATAGACACTTGCACATGCTTATTTTGTTTAAAAGTATGATGATTATTACATTTTATGAAATCAGACATGTACATTTTTAAGCTCATAACAATAAACCTTAATGTACTAATTTTTGGTTTGAAAACTGGATATGTAAAGAAAATATTCTATACTTCATATGTGAACTTAAAGCAACTTAATTCCTAATCGTATTTTAAAATGTCTCATTGGTACTTGGGTTTTATTTTTTTCAGCCATCAGATGACGACACAATCAGCCTTCACTCTCAAGTCTCAGAATCAAATAGAGAGCAGACATCAAGAAATGATAGTCACTCCGTTGGAAGTAAACCTGATTCTCAGAAAGGTAATCCATATGGTGTTTGCTATATTTATTTTATGTACATAGCCCTTATAAAAATGGACTTTGAAAAATATTATCTTTGGCCAACTTTTTTATTGAGAAAACAAACTTTTATTCTAAACAGTGTCAGAACTAACTATTCATATTTTAAATAAATATTATTTTATATTTAGACCAGGAAGTGTATGATTTTATTGACCACAACACAGAAGATGTAGCAGTTGCCGAACAAGGAGATACACATATTGGATCCTTTGTCTCTTTCTTTAAGGTAAAGAAACAAATATTAATAACATGTTCTCCTTGATCTCACAAAAAATGGACAATACAATTTAAAAATGATAACTTTCTTTTATATAAGGGAAAAGAAAAAGGTCCTGAAAAATCTCAGAAAAATGAAGAATTAGGAGATGAGAAAAGGTAAGCACACACAAATTCTCAAATGGAAATGTTACTTATAAATATTTGAATTATATTTAGATATTCCTACTTGGAAGAATATAATTTTTGTTGATTTACCCATTAGATTTAGGTAATTTGTGAATACTTTATTTGCTTGCATTCCTCAGTTAAACTGAAAATTCTCGTAAACATTTAAATTGTCATTTATACATTGTTTTTCCCCTCAGAAGTATAATAATAATGTCTTCTATGATTATTACTGAGAAAGACTGTACCTTTACATACATTGCCTCATTTAAACTACTTAATAACTCTTTTGAATAGATGGTATTGGCATCATTTGATGAGTAAGGAAACTGAGACCCTGTTTTTCAAATGTCTGCAACTCATGTGTCCTAACTCTTAGTCTCTTTCATTGAGAAAATACACTTTAAGAGTATTTTCATATTTTATTAAAATAAGTGTGCTTTTGATCTCTTCTATATCATTTATCTTATGAAATGATGGAATATGACATACCACATTTTTCCTTTTAAGTTCCTTCATTGAAGCAAGAAAGGAAGGGAAGAGCATATTTTGAAAACCTACCATGTACCAGGATCTGTGCTATATGCTTTCCCATGTTTCTTATATAGTGTTCACTAAATTCTGCACAGTAGATATTGTCCTCATTTTTACAGATGATGAAGATGAAGCTTGGAGATGGAAATTTCTTGCCTAGAACCACTAAGCTAGTATCCAATAGAACCTAGTGCATAAACTGAGCTCTCTCTAATTCCTGAAGCTTTTTTCTTTTCTTTACATTGTGCTTCCTCTAAATGACCTCATTAACTTTTTAAGCAGTTATTATTAATCTCTGGCACATCATTAGGAGCTACATAACTTTATCTTATATTCTTTATATTTAATTATTTTACTTTCTCACTTTATCTCATGAGGACAATTGCCTGAACTTGAGTCACCACTGGCATGCAAGTTATGGTAAAGAGAGTCTCAGCATTTGATACTTTTTTTGTTTTAAATCACATACTTCTTTTTGGAGAACAGCTTATTTTACAATTTCTTGGTTCTATTTGAATGATAAAAATTATATACTTTTTGGCAAATTTGCCAAACTTATTTGAACCCATTTTGTATTTCCTCTACTTAAACATTTTGTGGAGAGATTTTTAAGATCAATATGAAAATTTTATGACATTTTGTATTTACTGATAAAGACTGGACAGATAGGACTCTGTAGTTCTTATTACACTCACAACTGGAACATATACATTATTAAATTACTATGGCCATTACACAATTCAGAAATTACAAAAAAAAATTACTACAGTTCAATTAGTTAGCCATTAATTATATTAATATAACCAGTATGCTACATGTTCTTTTTAGAAGAAAGGATAGATATGCTTTTATATTCTTTAAATATTCCTTATTTTTTATTTTAATGTTATAAATACACAAATGTTAAGATTTTAACTTTCACCCAAAACCGGTTTGGCTCAGTGGATAGAGTGTCGGCCTGCGGACTGAAGGGTCCCGGGTTCGATTCTGGTCAAGGGCATGTGCCTTGGTTGCGGGAACATCCCCAGTGGGGGGTGCGCAGGAGGTGGCTGGTCGATGTTTCTCTCTCATCAATGTTTTGGCTTTCTATCCCTCTCCCTTCCTCTCTGTAAAAAATCAATAAAATATATTTAAAAAACAAAATTTTAGCTTTCACATGGTATGAAAAACTAAACATGGCTTCTAGTTCTGGAAACAGGTATAAAAATAAAGAGACTTTACTGGGGGGGTGGGTGGAACACACAATACAATATACAGATGATATATTATAGAATTGTACATCTGAAATGTATATAATTTTATTAAACAATGTCACTCCAATAAATTCAATAAATAACAACAAAAATAAAATAAATGAAAAAAAAACTTATCTTTTTGGATAAACATATTTGTGTCACCTTTCAGACTTGGAAAAGAAGTTGCAGAGGAAGATGATGATTTGAAGGCAGTAGCCACTAAGTTATTGCATCAAGAGCAAAAGAACAGGTATTTTTTAGTAATGATATTTAAATTGGCAAATTTTACAATAACTAAATCTGATTATTTAAAGATTATCAGATAAAGTATATTGAGTTTTCAGTAGTCAATAGGGCCATTTTAAGAACTATTTGAAGGGACTAGCTGCTGAAAGACAATAGGAAATACTTAGCAGAAATATGTAAAGTTACATATATAATTAAGAAAATTACAATGTCATTATATTTAATTATTGGTTAGGAATCCCTTTTTCATTTCTGTGTGCTAAATAATGACTTATTTGTTGAATTCATTTTAGCCCCAAGTAGCATTAGATATATTGTAAGCATTTTTCTCCATATATATATATATATATATATATATATATATATATATGTAATCAGTATATAGTGTTCTTTTTATGAGATTCCAAATTACTTGGGATATATGTAAAGGGTCACTAATCCCATCATGAGGAGTTCATCCTCATGCTCTCATTTAAACCTAATAATTACTTGATCATCCACTAATATGAATTTAATTACATAATGGGTGATTAAATCAGCATGATAATTTGAGGTTCAGAGATTCATGTTGGTCAGTGAGCATTTCTCTCTCTGGTGGGCTATTCCCAAAAGCTTATCTTTTGCACTGAGAAAGACATTGTGTGAATGAGTATAAAATCAGTCAGTAAAAGTCCTTTATTTTTTCTAATTACAATTTATATTCAATATTATTTGTATTCGTTTCAGGTGTACAGCATAATGGTTAGATAATTGTATGCAAAGTGTTCCCTTCACCCCCGATATTGTCAGTTCCCATCTGGCACCATACACAGTTATTATAGTATTATTGACTATATTTCCTATTGCTGTACTTTACATCCCCGTGACTATTTGTAACCACCAATTTGTACTTCTGAATCCCTTCACTTTTCCCACCCAGACCCAACCCCCAACCCCTCTGGCAGCATTAGTCTCTGTTCTCTATCTATGAGTCTGTTTCCGTTTTGTTTATTCCTTTATATTGTTGTATAGATTCCACATATTAGCAACATCATATGGTATTTGCCTTTCTGTGACTGACTGACTTCATGTAGCATAAACACTCTAGGTCTGTCCATGCTGTTGCAAATGCTGTGGTTTCATTATTTTTTATGGCCTAGTAATGTCCATTATATGTATATACACCACTTTTTCTTAATCTACTCGTCCATTGATGGACACTGGGTTGCTTCCATATCTTAACTATTTTAAATAATGCTTCAGTGAATACAGGCGTGCATCTATCCTTTAGAATAAGTGTTTTGAGTTTCATCAGATATATACCCATAAGTGGAATTCCTGGGTCATTAGACAGTTCCATTTTCATTTTTTTTTTTTTAGAAACCTCCTTACTCTTTTCCATAATGGTTACACTGATCTGTGTTTCCACCAAAAGTTCATGAGTGTTTATTTTTGTCCACAATCTTGGCAACAACTGTTGTTTGTGGATTTCTTGATAATAGCCATTCTGACAGGTGTGAGTTGATATCTTGTTGTGGTTTTAATTTGCATTTCCCTGAAGATTAGTGACCTTGACCATCTTATCCTATGTCTGTTGGCCATCTGTATGTCCTTTTTGGAGAAGTGGTTTTCAGGTCCTCTGTCTATTTTTTAATTGAAATGTTATTTTTGGTGTTGACTTGTCTGATTACATTATGAATTGTGGATGTTAACCCCTTATCAGATCTATCGGTGGTAAAAATGCTCTCCCATTGTCTTTTCATTTTGTTGATATTTTCCTTTGCTGTGAAAAACCTTTTTATTTTGATGTAGTTCCATCTATTCATTTTTTCTTTTGTTTCCTTTACATAAGGAGGTATATCAGAAAATATATTTCTAAGAGAAATATCCTAGATTTTACTACCTGTGTTTCCTTCTAGATATTTTATTATTTTGAGTCTTTTGTGTAAGTCTTGAATCCATTTTGAATTTGTTCTTGTATATGGTGTAAGAAGGTAGTCTAGTGTCATATCTATGCAGTTTTCCTAGCACCTTTTATTGACTTGACTTTCTCTGCCCCATTATATCTTCTTTTTTAAAAACATTTTTTATTGATTTCAGAGAGAAAGGGAGAGGAAAAGAGATAGAAACATCAATGATGAGAGAGAATCATTGATTGGCTGCCTCCTACACACCCCACACTGGGATCGAGCCTGCAACCTAGGTATGTGCCCTGACCGGGAATTGAACCTTGACCTCCTGTTTCTAAGTCAACGCTTAACTGCTGAGCCATGCCTTATGGGCCCCCATTGCATCTTCTTAATTTGTCAAGTATTAATTAACCATATTGGCATGGGTTTAATTCTGGATTCTCTATTCTGTTCCATGGATCATAGTTGTGTCTGTTTTTATGCCAGTGCCATGGTGTTTTGATTACTATAGCCTTGTAGTATAGTTTGATATCAGGTTTTGTGACACCTCCAACTTTATTTTTTGTCAAGATAGATGTGGCTGTTCACTGTCTTTTGTGAGTCCATATAAACTTATGGGTTATTTGTTCTAGTTCTGTAAAGTGTGCCATTGGGATTTGGATAAGAATTGTGTTAAATCTACAGATTGCTTTGGTTAGTTTGGACATTTAAATGATGTTAATTCTTGCTATCCATGAGCATAACATATGCTTCCATTTATTTGTATCTTCAGTTTTTTCCTTCAGTGTATAAATTTTGAACTATAGGTCTTTGCCTCCTTGTTTAAATTTATTCCTAGGTATTTTATTTTTTTGAGGCATTTGTAAATGGAATTGTTTTCCTATTTTCCCTTTCTGATAGTTCATTATCCTATATAATAAAGAGGTAGTATGCAAATTGACCATCACTCCAACACACAAATGGCCACCTCCATGCTGTCAAAGATGGCTTTCCCCATGTGGACATAAGATAGCCACCACAAGATGGCTGGCAGGAGAGGGCAGTTGTGGGCAATCAGGCCAGCAGGAGAGGGCAGTTGGGGGTACCCAGGCCTGCAGGGGAGGGCAATTAGGGCTGACCAGGCTGGCAAGTTAAGGCAGTTAGGGGTGACTGGGCCTGCAGGGGAGGGCAGTTGGGGGCAACTAGGCCTGCAGGGGAGGTCAGAAGCAATCAGGCCAGCAGGGGAGCAGTTAGGCATTGATCAGGCTGGTAGGCAGAAGCAGTTAGGGGCAATCAGGCAGGCAGGCAGATGAGTGGTTGGGAGCCAGCAGTCTTGGACATCCCTCGAGGGGTCCCAGATTGGAGAGGGTGTAGGCTGGGATGAGGGATCCCCCCCTCCTGCCCCATGCATGGATTTCATGCATCAGGCCTCTAATTGGTGTATAAAAATGCAACTGACTTTTAAATATTTGTTTTGTATCCTAATATTTTACTGAATTTATCTGGCAGTTCTAATAGTTTTTTTGTGTGGACTCTTCAGGGTTCTCTGTATTCACTATCCTGTCATCTGGTAATGACAAATGACAGTTTTACTTTTTACTTTTCAAGTTGGATGCTTTTCATTTCTTTTCTGATTGCTGTGGCTAGTACTTCCATTATTATGTTGAATAAGGATGGTGAAAGTGGACATTATTGACTTGTTTCTGATCTTAAAGGGGATACTTTTAGCTTTTCCCCATTGAGTATAATGTTAGTTGTGGTTTTACCATATATTGCCTTTATTATGTTGAGATATGTTCCCTCTATTTCCACTTTGCTAAGAGGGTTTTCTTCTTTTTTAATCCTCACTCCAAGATATTTTATTTATTTATTTTTATTTGAGAGAGAGAGAGAGGGAGACAGAGAAATAGAGAGAGAGAAAGAGAGAGAGACAGAGAGACAGAGAAAGACATTGATCTGAGAGAAAAGATTGATCGGTTGCCATCTATATTTGCCCTGACTGGGGATTGAACCTTCAACCTAGGTATGTGCTGATTGGCAATTGAACCCATAAACTTTTGATGTATGGGACACTGTTCTAACCAACTGAGCCACTGGATGACCAGGTGCTAAATGTTTTTATCATAAATGGGTGCTGAATTTTATCAAGTGCCTTTTCTCTATCTATTGATATTATCATAACTCCTTTATTTTATTTATGTGATGTATCATGTTAATTGATTTGCTGATCTTGTACCACTGGTATATCCCTAGAATAAATCCAAACTTGATCATGGTGTATGATTTTTTTAATGTATTGCTGCATCTGGTTTGCTAATACTTTGTTGAGTTTTGCATCTATGTTCATCAGGTATATTGGCCTATACTTTTCTTTCTTTGTAGTGTCTTTATCTGGTTTTGGAATTAAGATAATGCTGGCCTCATACAATCTTTGGAATCTTCCCTTCTCTTGAATGTTTTGGAATAGTTTGAGAAAGATAGGTGTTAGTTCTTTGAATGGTAAAATTTGCCTGTAAAACCATTCGTCCAGGACATTTGTTTGCTGAGAGATTCTTTAAATTATTGCTTTAATTTAATTTGTTATAATCTGTTCAGATTTTCTGATTCTTCTTGATTCAGTTTTGGAAGATTGTATATTTAAAGGAATTTATCAATTTTTTCCAGGCTGTTTAATTTTTAAAAATATATATATTTTATTGATTTTGTACAGAGAAGAAGGGAGAGAGATAGTTAGAAACATCGATGAGAGAGAGTCATCAATCAGCTGCCTCTTGCACACTCCATACTGGGGATATGCCTGCAACCAAGGTACATGCCCTTGACTGGAATCAAACCCTGGACCTTTCAGTCCCCAAGCCAATGTTCTATCCATTGAGCCAAACCGGTTTTGGCCAGGCTGTTTAATTTTTTTTGGCATTTAGCTATTTGTAGTATTTTCTTATAATCTTCTGTATTTCTATGGTGTCAGTTGTTACTTCTCTTTCATTTCTGATTTTATTTGGGTCTCTAATTTTTTTCTTTATGACTGGGTAATAGTTTGTCAAACTGTCAATCTTATTTATCTTTTTCTTTCTTTATTTTTGAATATATATATTCAAAAAATATATATATATTTAATACAATATATATATATAGT